CCACACATAATAAACAGATGAATGAGGTTGGGGGGGCGGGAAGCCTCCAGCCTAGGAAAGAGATGATTCATACAACTAATTTGTTCTTTTTTTTTTCTTTTTTTTAACAAAGTATTCTCTAATAAGATCCTATCGTGTGTAGTGTTTCCTCCTTATTTATTATCGGAAGGAGACGGGAAGAACGAGTGTCTGAAGGTGTCTGAGCTGGAATCGTGATCTGGCTCCCTTTCCCAGAGACACGACCAGAAAGGTAAAGGCATGTGTGCTCAACGTCATTCAGAAATTCAGAAGGAAGCCAGGCCTTTCTCACTTTCCAAGCCAGCACTCCTAAAATCTGGGTGTATTATCTTCTTTTATTTGTTTTGTAATGTTACTTTTTCGTTTGGTTTTGGTTTTGGTGGTACTTGAGCAGACCCCCAGCCCTATCGTGATATCTGTCCATTTTACAAGTTCCACATACCTTGCTGGGAGAAGTCTGAAATAAAATTTTGAGGGCTTGTAGAATATAGAGATCTCTTTGTGACATATTGATAGAAAAAGAATGAAATTCTTCACCTTTTCTAGGTTTGTTTATAAGACCAAAATATTGGCCTTCATATTACTTTGTCTCTATATTTCATCAATCCGATAATTTTTCTTACATGTCAAACTCATGCTCACCCCTCCCATACACAACAGTTTGGATGGAAAGCATCTCACCACTCAGGATACAACCTTTGTAATACTTTTAATGGTTGCTGAACATTTGGGATGGAAACCATTCTTGGACGATGTGTATTTTTACTGAAAACAAATGCCTTTCTGTCTTTCTCTTTTGGGTTTTTTTTTTTTTTTTTTGCGGTGTTGGGGTTTGAACTCAGGGCCCTCACCTTGAACCACTCCACCAGCCCTTTTTTGTGAAGGGTTTTTTTCAAGATAGGGTCTCTTTAACTATTTGTTCAGGCTGGTTTCGAACTACAATCCTCCTGATCTCTGCTTCCTGTGTAGCTAGGATTACAGGTGTGAGCCACCAGTGCCTGGCTTTCTGTCTTTCTAAATGAAGGGATTTTCTTCCCTCTTGGTTTTGATATGTCAAACACTCCTTTAAGACAAATGCTTAATCTTCACACCTGATTTCTTGAGAATTACAGTACTATATTCCAAAGAATTACTGTCCCTTTTTTTTGCTATTTATTATAAGTTTTGACAATTGCTATTTTCCCCTTAAATTGCTATTTGTTGCACTTCCAGTTGGTGAGCCCTCAGCTGTTCGTGAGGTATGATTTAGGAGGGTAGTGAGCCAGTCAGAGGGTTTTTTTGTTTTTTTGGCAGCACTGGGGTTTGAACTCAGGGCTTCATGCTTGCTGGGCTGGCACTTTACCATTTGAGCCATTCTGCCAGCCCAAGAGGAATCCTTTTAAATGACCATGTCATGCCCCTGGTTTAACACCCTCCAACAGCTGTTCAGGGAGACCCAAATGCTCCATGGCCTGCAGGTCTGCCTTCCTCCCCTTGCTCATGGCAGTTGGAGCCTCAATGGCCTTTTATATTTTTAAATATTTTAGTTCTTCAAACATGTCAAAACTGTATGGTTGGTTGATACCAGTACTGGCTAGTGATTGCGTAAAGAACCATCCCAAAATGAAGTGGCCTAAAACGATGACAATTACTTCATTGCCAACAAGTCTGCAGTTTGGGCAGTGCAAGGAGGGTCAGGCTTGTCTCTAGCCCCTCATTGAGGCAGTTGTGGCTGCCAGACTGGTGAGCCTCCCATGTTGCCTCGGTGGACGTGTTTGGGAGCCGGGGAAGGAAGCCTTGAGACAGGTGTAAGTGGTGTCATCGTTCATGACCTAGTTTTGGAATTCACATGCATCATTTTGCCACACTCTGGTCTTTGAGGTGGTCACAAAGTCCTGCCCAGGGCAAGAAAAGGAGCCTAGACTGCCTTTCGATCAGAACCGGCAAAGTTCTAGAACAGTGAGTGGGACCAGAAATATTATTTCAACCATTTGGGGAAAATGTAATCTGCCACAATATGCTTCACCAATTGGTGTGTGTGTGTGTGTTAGCAGAGTATTTTATACAGACAAATGCTTAATTTTCACACCTGATTTCTTGAGAATTGCACAATATCTACCTAACTTTAAAGAATTAGAGCTTCCTCATCAGGAATCACTTTAGAGCCCTAGAGTTCTGCTGTGATCACTGGGATGGATTCCAACCAACACTTGGAGAAAATATTCAGTTCCCCCCAGTCACACTGCCTAGAGCATGAATGAGAAAGGCGGGGTCTTTGTTTTCAGCGTAGCAGGACCTTCAGCTTACATATCAGGACAAGCACAATTCTTGTGACAAATCCACATCTTGTTATGTGGGAATAAGTAACTAACACAGAGAGGGAGGCTTGGCCATGACAGAAGACTGAGCAGAAGTGCAGGCCCTTCTACCTGCCCAGGTGGCAGCATGGCCTCCAAATAGTCTACACACTTCATGCTGTGTCAGAGATTGTCGTAGGCCTTTGTTGTTTTGTTATGTTTGAGGTAAGTTCTCACATGTATCCTAGGCTGGCTTTGAACTTAAGATCCTCCTGCCTCAGTCTCCCCATTGCTGAGATTACAGGTGGGCACCACACCTGGCTTAAATCTAGGGCTCTTTGCCCAATACAACATTTTAGACTATTGGGACTATTTCTATTTTGCCAGGTTGAGAAATCATTTATTCACTCTGTGGTCATATCAGACCACAGAGTGGCAACTCACCCCTGCCCCCGTCTAGGCAGATCTGCTATACCAGGCCACTTCATAGGTTGTCAGAACAGCTCTCTGCTTGGCTCTTTTTGAGTCAGGTGCCTGCTCCTGGTCCAGGGTGCAATGGCCAGGGAGTGGGGCCACTGTAGGAACAGGGTGGCCCAGGTGGGATCTGCTCAGCGGGGGCTGTGACAGGTGAACCCCTCTGGAGAGGGTGTTGGGTACTGAGACTGTACTGTGGGAGGAAATATAGTTTTTAACCTTTCTAGGAGGAGATTTTTAAGCCCACAGCCACTTCCTTTGTGAGAAAAACCACAGGCAGGCACAGCTGCACCTACACAAGAAGCCACAAATACTAGGCTACTTCCTCTACATCGGTCTCAACCAAAAATACACTTGGTTTCCTGTCTCTGTGTTATAGTCAAGATTGCTATTCGCTTCCTGGATTTCAGGACCATAGTGACAAAAACATATCACAACCATTAGTCATCAGTGTATTTTTTTTCCCTGAAAATATGTTTTTATTCATTTTCCTGTCCTTCACTTTATTCTGCCATCTGGCAACAATTCTTTGAATTGTAAAAATCACTTTGTCATACCAGTATTATTTGCGTTTCCCTTTACTTCTGTTTCCTGGGTAATTCATTCTAAATTGTCAGATGGAACTAACACAGGGAGAGCTCATAGGCTCTGCTCAGAAGGGCAGAATGTGGCGCCAGCAGGTGCTTATGAGTTGCTTATTGGGGGAAGCAATTCCACCGAGTCTGTATTTAGGTCTGGCTTGTCTCTTTCTCAGGCTTTTTTCTTGGCATAAAATAACCATATGCATTTTTAAGATACTTTCTGCCTCTCTGGGGTTTGGGCAGGGAAGCAGAATGGGCTGTGGAAAGCCACATCTGGAGTCACATCCGGCCTGCCAGCTCACTCCTCCTGACAGGGTCTACCCTGAGAGGACAGGCCGGGACTGTCATCTAGTGGGAGAGGTCCTGTTCCCAGTCTTGGGGGACTTCCCTGGACGCAGGGATCCCAAGGCTTCCTGAGGCATTCTGAGTCAGTCCTGCATGTTTCCTGGAGATGTGACTCATTCTAGGCCTTTTCAAAAGAGCAGTGAGTCATCTGGGGCTGGGGGGTGTGGAGGAGGCTTTTCTTCTTCCCCACTTGGCATGTTCAAAGTACACACCACAAAAGAGGAAACAGGCCCCAGGAAGGTTTAAATCAATTGCTAAGGCCTGCCTAGTGAAGAGGGAACCCTGAGGCTGTGAGCATGAAGCCCATCAGTCTGATTCCAGAATCCACCCTCTTAATAATCCTGCAAAAAGTCAGAGCAGGTCTGGAAGAGAATGGGGAGAGAAGTTCACTGTGTACTTTACGTAAGTTTTTTGGTTGTGTACTATTCTAAAAAAAAAAAAAACTAATTTAAAAAGGATTTAAAACTAAATTCCTACAACATTTAAGACGCAAATTACAGAATACAAATTATCCATTCTGCAAGTTACTAGGCAGATTTAAAATTCTTTTTTAAATAGCTTCAAAACATTGGATATAGAAATCAGTGGCCTAAAAATGCCTTCCTACTGACTAGGGTTTTGCATCTGGAGTAATGGGGGCGGGAAGCCTCTGCTCTGTACCTCTGGGTCACTCGGAAAACACCTGCTGAGGGATTGATTGAGTGACTGCATGACCTCCAATGACAGTCTTGCAACTTGTCTTTGCAGGGCTCTGGGTGTCACTGCAAAAGGACGGCTCTGTGGTGCCACAAACTGAATCACAGAGCGTCACTCCATCCACACACTTGAGCAGCTAGCCCAGAGAACGATTAAGGTCGCTGGAGCCTCTGAGGAGATGCGTTGGACAGAGGAATCCTACTGCTCACATCTCCCTAGCTGTCCCTCTCTCCAACATTTTCCAGTCTCCACCCCAGGGCCCCGCACTCTCTCTGCCTGCACGTTCCACTCACGGACAGACAGGCAGATGTGGGAAACATCTTTTCTACGCTCAGAGGCACTGCCAGGCCATTTCTGACATGGCGGTTGACTCTGGCACTCCATGTCAACTGGATAGAGTTCTCACTGGCCAAACAGGACATGTCACCACAAAGCCCTTTCTCATATAGCTTTTGTTTTCAGGGCTTGTTTCTGATCTTAGAAAATGTTGGAGTCTTGTGAAATATTTATACAACTTGGATGTCACTTGATCAACAGCAAAGAAAAAAACAAACCACTGCTTAGTGAATGTTTAAAGTATCAACTGACATTTTATTTTCATTTTGGCTCTTAAAATCAATTGTGTATTGAGAGATTTGCTAAAGAAACATGTGGCTTGAAAAAGTCAAATGTGAATAGAAAATCCCAAACATATCTTAGTCGTTGACAATGAAGAGGAAGAAGGAACCTGCCTCTCCCTTGCTCCCTTCAGTTTCTGGGGTGGGATGTGGTACCACAGGAGAGGGCTTCCACCCTCTGGGCACAGGTGGTCCCAGGGCTTGTTCTGCGTGGCCTGTGGAAGTACACAGTGTTCTTAGTTCCTCTCATACAATCGACCATAAAGAGCTGCTGTCACCAGGCCAGAGGACAGTCCTCTTTGTCTTAAGAAATAGTGGTCATTCTCCCAGCCCAACTGGTCAGGAGTTTCTAGAGTCATCCCTGAGGTCAGAAACAAAGGAAAGATGTAGGAAGTACTGAAATTCCCCCACAGGTGAAATTGGAATAGCCCCTGGGCCTCTGTGATCTCCTGCCCACATGTGTCAAAGCCAAGACCCCCACACTTGACCAAGGCACAAACCTGAATGTAATAGGTGCCGTGCACTGTGTGGAGGCCATCAAAGACCCCCAGGGCATATAGCTCTTTGGACAAGGTGGGCCTCTCGTACAGTAAATAGCAGCAGAGGCCATTTGAACAGACTTGGAGATAGCCTTCCTTTCCCCTGACAGGGACCAGGGTGAAATTGTCGTACATCATCTCAGAATGGAACGTGGGAGGTGTGTTCAAGTTCCATTTGGTGGCTTTATCACAGTGGACTTCCTGAGCATCCTTCTCACAGTACGCGCCTGACACAATCTTTAAAAACCTACTGTGGGAAGCGTCCATTTCGCCTCTTGCCTTCTCTGCTCCTATGAGAGCCACTGGATTTTTGGCGACCTGGCAAATTATAAGCTGACCTCTGGGAGTCACCATGCTGTGGTACCAAAAGGATTTCTGAGGGGTGTGTATGCCGCTCCCTGTCATCCCCAGAGATGGGTGGTGGATGTTAGCAGCCAGAATGTTGACGCCAAAGGCCATGGCAAAAGCTTTCTGAATCTCGATGGCGGCCAGGAGCGGGAGCTGGTTCATCCAGGCGGTCGGGTACGCAATGTGCTTCACGTCTTGGTCTCTGATGAGTCTGATGGCAGGGTCAAAGAACAAGATATCAAAGCAAGTGAAGATGCCAAATTTGCCAGCAAAGGGGGTATCGAAGGTGATGTGATCCACTTGAAGAGGGGTATCAAAAGCTGCCTCAAAGTAGAGGTTGTGTTTACGATAGCGGTTGACAAGGGTTCCGTTACTGCTGAACACAACATTTGTGTTAAACTGGTATCTCCCATCATTTGGGCACTCTGGATCACTGCTAAGACAAGGCTGTTTCGTCCCAAGATTGGCCACCAAGAACAGCTTTCCCTTGATGGCCATACAACTCAAGCGCTGGAGGACCTATTAAAAAAAAGGTATAAATAAGTACATTTTTAAAATCCAGAATTTTGTCTCTCTTTTTCTTTGCGGGCAGGGGGAGAGGGACGGGGTACTAGGGCTTGAACTCAGGGCCTACACCTTGAGCCACTCCACCAGCACTCGTTTTTTGTGAAGGGTTTTTCAAGATAAGGTCTCAAGAACTATTTGCCCAGGTTGGCCTTGAGCCTCGATCCTCCTGATCTCTGCCTCCTGAGTAGTTGGGATTACAGGCATGAGCCACAAGTGCCTGGCTTGTCTCATATTTTTAATAGAAAAGTTCCTGTATTGTGTTTATAATACGTAAACACTTATCATAAATCAGTAAAAAATACTCCTGAAAACATGCAAAGGATATGACTAGGTGATTGACAGAAGATCCAATGATCTGAAAAAAAGCTCAGCTTCATTAGTAACAAGAAAATGCAAATTAAAACAATAATGAGGCATCATTTCTCACCCTCATTAGAATGGCAAAAACTCAAATGATTATTTTATCTTGCATTGACCAAAGGGTGGGAAAATGGGCAGTCATAGACTATAACTGGGGAAATAAAATTAAATGTAAATCTTTTGATAGAGAGATTTGGTTCTCTTTAAAATAATTTAAGCCAGGAGTCAGTGGCTCACACCTGTGATCCTAGCTGCTCGGGAGGCAGAGATCAGGAGGATCACAGTTCGAGGCCAGCCTGGGCAAATAATTCGTAAGACCCTACCTCAAAAATAACAAGCACAAAAAAGGACTGGTCGAGTGGCTCAAGTAGCAAAAGGCGTCCCTAACAAGTGTAAGGCCCTGAATTCAAACCCCAGTACTGCCAAAATAATAGTAAAAATAATTTAAAATGTGTATAGCCTTTGAGAAATTTCATTTGTAGGAAATTTACTTTACAGAAAAACTTGAACATGCTTATAAAAATATAACATTTCTTATAATAGCAAGAATTAAAAAACAAGCATATAGCATGCTAAAAAAAGTTCAATAAGTATGAGGTGCATAGAAATGGTACTGTTAAATGAACAAAAAATTATTGGTGAGGGTTTCTCTAGGAAAGGAAGTAGGATAAGGATGGGCTATGTTGGAAGTGAAATTTTAGATTTTTACTTCTGTTTGGCTTATTTATAAGGTTATAGTCATGTATTTCTTGTTTAATTAATCCATAGGAAGATCCACAGGTGAGTAAATGCCTCATGATATGAGACATTCTTTAACTGAATGAATGTGTGACACGGGTTCGGGTTGATTTTCTGACCCTAGGCCTCTTTTGACCAGTTAGCATGCAGTGGGTTCTGGTCCTTGGCCTGCTGAGGAAGCCGCATCTTCACGTACCTCGGTGTCATTGAAGCGGTGTGGCTCCAGGCATGGGTTCCACCTGACTAGCTGGGGAGACGGCATGAAGTCCAGAAATGGGTAAATGGACGTTCTTGTAAAGTTGAATCCATGAATGCCGTCTTCTGGAAACACTAGAATCTGCACACCCTGTGAGTCAAACACCACAGTACAGTCTTGATAAGATAACAGGAAGCACTATCTAACCCATTGGCTCACTCATTTCAGGACCACCAAGAAGTCACTCTACCAGGAGCCAGACACAAAGATGGTAGCTTGACTCTCACCAGGGATCTTAGCCTTGGAGAAGCTCTCTCTCTTTTTTTTTTTTCCCCCTTGTGGTACTGGGGTTTGAACTCAGGGCCTACACCATGAGCCACTCCACCAGCCCTTTTTTGTGATGGGTTTTTTCAAGATATGGTCTCGTGAACTATTTGCCCAGGCTGGCTTTGAACCATGATCCTCCTCATCTCTGCCTCCTGAGTAGCTAGGATTACAGGTGTGAGCCACCAGCGCTTGGCAAGAAGCTGTCTTGTTTAGTCTGATACCAAAGACACGATGACAAGGGCCTCTAGTAACAAGCCTTCCTTGTGCTAGGAGCATGTCAGGGAAGAAGAGAGTGAAATGACGAAAGGTACAGGAGTTTACCAAGTGGACAGTTAGGAGGGCTTGAGGTTCTTGCGGCACACTGGGAGGTGGGCTGTTTATAAAGGACCTGAATCCTAAACCCATTAACAGAGATGTCATCTCTAGCCCAGTAGTTCTTAGCCTTCATTCTACATCTGAATCAGTAAGGGGGGACTTCTGAGAAAAAAAGTGATGCTGTGCCCACCCCTAAAATGTCTGATGCAATTGATTGTGGGTGGGCTCCTGGCAACGGTGTTATTTTGAAGGTCCCCCAGGTGACTAATGTGCAGTCAACATTGAGACCCACTGGGCTAGTAGGTAAGAGTCAAGTGTGTTGATCTCACAGAAACAAGGACTCACTTGAAATCTTAATTCCCCAACTGGGAACTAAGAGGTTCCCTTTAGGATTCTGGACACCCCACAGGCCTTTTTCCCATACCTGGGGACACCCTGGGCCCCCCCTGACATCCACACAACTTAAGGAAATACAAATAGGACAGCCTTCGGCTGTAAGTGTCACAGCCTCATTCTCTTGTTACTCTCCATTTACATGGATTAAATGTCAACCCTAGAGCTCTGGGTGGAGAAGGCAGGCAGAGAAGTGTGCACAATCTAAAATAGGCAGTGTAAAGCACTTATTTCTGGAGTACACTGCACACTCTGTTTAGGTTTTTTTTTTTTCTGGTTATAAAACCTTCAAAGTTTATAGAAAAGTTGGAAAAAAGAAAAATGACAAATTCGTAATCCTTAAATATGAAGATACCTATTGAAATATTAATGATATTTTTCCTCTTTTCTGCATATGTGTGTATATAATTAAGACAATCATACATAAACTGTTTGCACCTTGATTTTTCTCAAGAACTTTCAAAAATGTAACTGGTAATGAGGACACCATATTTTCTCCTCTATTATTGGACATGTGAATTGTTTCCAATTTTTTGTAATAAAAAGAAAATTATGTTGCTGGGTATGGTTGCTCGTGTCTGTAATTCTAGCCACTCAGGAGGCTGAGACAGGATCGAGGTTCCAGGCCAATGCTGGCAAAAAATTCACAAGACCCATCTAAATCAATAAAAGCTGAGCATGGTAGTGCAGGCCTGTCATCCAAGCGACACAGGAAGTGTAAATGGGAGGCTCTCAGAACTAGGCCAGCCTGGGCGTAAACACCACACCCTATTCGAAAAATAACTAACGCAAAAAGAGCTGGGGGACGCGGCTCAAGTGGTAGAACACCTGCATAGCAACAGAAGACCCTGAGTTCAAACTCTAGTACTGCCAAAATAAAGAAAGAAAAAGAATCTGCACACAATACACTCAAAACCTTTCCTGAATGCTATGCACAAGTCCTCCATTGAATCCCTAACTAGTTCTTTAGAATAAAGTCTTACAAAGTGAAGTCATTTGGTTAAGGAGTATGAAAACTTTAAGTTCTTAACATACATTGCAAACAGCTTTTGAGAAAGGTTATCCCACCGTGGACTCCCTCCAGCACAGTGTGAGGCTGGCCACCCATTACACAGTAACAACTTTGTAAAGAGAAATGATCGCAAACTTGGAAATAGGCAAGATGAAGAATGCCTTTCCAAATTATATTGGCTATTGATTAGCACGTTCACTCCTAGAGAATGTACCACCGTTTGTTTTTGCTATTTAAATGATCACCCAAAGGCTACAACTGTATTGCCCTGTAGGACATCAACCAGTTTTGTATCTCAGCCAACTCATTTCACCATTCACTGGACTGACAGACACCTGACAGACACATGTCCATCTCTTGGATTCTCCTTTGGGCCAGCTTTACCATCTGACTGGTTCCTTCACTAATTACTGAGTTAAATAAAAAACACGTTCATTCTATATTTGCATATGAGTCATGTTTTTAACTTTTTTTTTTTTTGCAGTGCTGGGACTTGAACTCGGGGCCTTCACCTTAAGCCACTCCACTAGCCTTTTTTGTGATGGGTTTTTTCAAGATAGAGTCTTGCAAACTATTTGCCTGGGCTGGTTTCAAACCACGATCCTCCTGATCTCTGCCTCCAGAGTAGCTAGGATTACAGGCATGAGCCACAGTTGCCAGGGGCTTTTAACTTTTTGAATATTACACTTGGATGGGTATTTTCCTTTACTAAAAAAGAAAACATTGAGCGCACTGAATAGTTTCTAATGGAGAATAACATTTAAGTTATGTATTCACAATAGATCTGAAAAAAATTTTTTTGGTGGGACTGGGATTTGAACTCAGGGCTTCATGCTTGCAAAGCGGGCACTACCACTTGAGCCACACTTCCAGTCCATTTTGTCCTGGTTGTTTTGGAGATGGGGGTCTCATGAACTATTTGCTTGGGCTGGCCTTCAATGGAGATCCTCTTGGTCTCAGCTTCCCAAGTAGCTAGGATTACAGGTGTGAGCCACTGGTGCCTGGCTGATATAAAAATTAAATTAGATTCCCTGAGCATAGATTGGCCAGGAATGAAGCCAGGAACTAAACCTTAGCTGGGCAGAACTTGGGTCTGATGTGATAAGCAATTAGCATTTCTGATACATAGCTTTAGCAATTTTTTTATCAACCTTAATGAGGTTAGGAACTGTTTCTGAGGAAGGGAGGTCACCAACTCAAGTGACTGTCCTACCTAATCTTTTTAAAACTGCACTTCTTTTTCCCCTGTGAAGAGAGAGAAATACTTCAATTGCTTTCTCAGGAACCTCTGTCTTTACTACAAGTCTGATATAAAACTTGGACATGTGCTTGCCATAGTTTGTCTTAAAAGTTGCTTTAACACACATAGAGGGAGTGGAGACATCTGCGAGCACTGAAATCCATCCTAATAGCAGCTCCATCCCTGCTTCTGGGTCACTAAGAGCCAAGGAATGATGCCCACAAAACCATGTGATGTTGTTTCCTTTGGGGGCAAGTTATTAAAACTCCAAGCAGGGAATTAATTCTGTAGTCACCATCTCTAGCGTTCAGTGTGGCATTTGCCAAATGTCCCAGGATGGTCTCACAGAGGTGGGGAAGTAAGACGAAGTGAAGCTGCAGGTGCTGGGTTCAGCATGCCAGCAAAGACAGCCTGCCCTTGCCTGGGCTGGTATGGGCAGGAGGCCTGAGACCACAACTGGGATTGTTTTTACACTGACTTCAGCAGAGACATAACGAGGTGTGTATCAAATGTGTGAATGACGTGAAAGTAATGGATATGCGCTATCAGTGAAGATCCCTAAATAGCCCAACGGGCTGGAAAGATGAAATTTAATGGCGCAAATGTGCAGTCTGGTTCTCGGATTAAATCAGTCAATTTCTTAAGTGCAGAAGGGCAATGGCAACATGGCTGTTTGTGTGTGAAAAGGGTGCAGGAGTTTCAGGTAATAAATACAAAGTGCCTTATGAATCCCTACTGAGTTTGTCACTGCTAAAAGTTTCCTGGGGCCACCATCTAGAATGAGAGGGGTGAGTCTCCTGAAGTACCCCCACACACACCAGGACAGTGGCACACAGCTCTGAGCACAGAGAAAACCTGGAAAGTCTGCCTAGAGGGCTAGAAACCAGATCTGCCAAGAACTGTGGAAGGGGGTGGGGATAAGAGCCTGGAAACCAGACATAACAGTAGCTCCAACTTGTAGTCCTAGCTACCAGGGAGGTGGAGATCAAGAGGATTGCAGTTTGAATCCAGCCAGCCCAGGCAAAAAGTTCTTCAGACCCCATCTCAACCAATAGTTGGTGTGGTGAGACATGCCTGTCGTCCCAGCTATGGAGGAAGCATATAGGAGGATCATGATCTAGGCTGGCCAAGGCATAAATGTGAAAACTTATCCCACAAATGACTAAAGTAAAAAGAGCCAGGGGCATGGCTTAGGTGGTAGAGTGCCTGCTAGTAAGCAGGAGGTCCTGAGTTCAACCCCTAGAGCCAACCCCCAAAAATAAAAAATGTGGGGCAAATAGTGGAGGCCATGGCAGCCATCCTCAAGTGTGCAGAAGATGGCAAGGGGATCAGGCTTCTCTTTAGCTCAAGGACAGAACTATGTATGGCAGTCACAGGGAGGTGACTGTCTTTCTAGAAGTTCCTGCCACTGGAATGAATGGACCTAGGAAACAGTGAGCTCAAGGGGAAACCAGACATCAGGTTGGGACAAAATAGGAGTCTCATCCATCAGAAGTTCCCTTCCAACATCGGTGACACAGATGCACACGTGGACATCTCTGTATTCTAACCTAGCATTTTTAAATGGAGCAACAGATGGTGTCTGTGTCCTTCCAGGCCATCCTGAGCACCCTGCTCAGAGACAGTGCCCCAAGGGGCAAGTCTGGTTCTACCCTTTCAATTCACACACAGAAGAGAAATTTTGTGCACATCAAGGCACAGCAGGGCCTCTTCAAGCAGCTGGGCTTGGTACTACCACTAGGCTTAAAGCCCAACCTTCCCTTTCTCAGCTGGGCACCAACATTTCCCCCTTTGTCCCATGGGTTCCCTATCCTCCATCTCCACCCTTCCTGACCAGAAGGGGAAATGCAGCCAAATAGGAAGCCTTTACAAAGGCACCAACCTGCCCTTCGAGAGCTTGGGTTGGGCCTGTCTGGGCAAAGGTCACCCAGTGTTCCTAGTCAGGCCGAGACAAAGCAAGCCCAGATGGTCTGCAGGCAGACAGCAGCAGTTCTGTGGACAGTTACCATTTCTGTTAAGCTCTGACTGCCTCACAGAGCATGGTAGTTAAATATACTCAATGGTTTTCAAATTTTTCTGCACGTTTGAATTCCCTGGGGAGCCCAGACTTCCGCCCATCTGGACCAATTACAGCAGTCTCCCAAGACCCAGGAACTCACACTTGTTTACACCCTACCCAATGATTCCTCCCCATAGGCAGGGTTTCTCCAACTCAAAGAGCAAAAGCATGACCTGGGGCTGCTGCTAACATGGAGATCTGACACAGAAGGTCTGGGGTGGACCCTGGATTCTACAGTCCTCACAAGCTCCCACTTGGTCCATGAGCCCTTCTGAGTAAGTTGACTAAGCCAACTCTGGTTCCTAGTCAAACTGCTTTTTGCAGAGGTCTGCAGGGAGCTGGGGGCAGGTAGCCACTGCTCTGGCTCACAGGGCCACATGCTGCATGGTAGGAGCTAAGCTAGGGCATAACCAAGCCGCAGTTCTTGCCTTCTGGGCTGCGGTCATCACTTGCTCTTCGTAGATGTTGAGGTTCTGGTTCATTAGCTTCAAGGCCTGCTTACGGCTGGTGAGCTCCAGAGGGTTTGGACTCAAGACCGAATGGTGCTCATACACGGCAGCCACGTAATATTCATCCTCATGATGGTCATCCTCACGGTGCTCACTGGTGAGGGCTCCCAGGGCAACCATGACCCAGCCGAGGAGAAAGAGAGCGAGCTTACTGCTGGCTCCGGCCATGCTGCAGACCATAAATCTGGAATGTAATAGGGCAAGGGAAAAACAGCTGAATAAAGAATTCTGCCAAGAATGTAACTCTTGCAGCTGTGATTTATTAATCCCAGCAATTAAACTCACCCGCAGTGATACTGCAGCTCAAAGAGTTTGTTTCATGTTCCTAATAAAAGAGTATGTGTTTCTCTCCAGACATGTAGCCAGCTACATTTAAAATGGCTCACCGTGTTAACAGTCTGGTTTTAGAACATTTCCAAAACAGACCTGATGTTTGCTGCGATGTTCTTACCCAGTGTTCAGCAAGACTGCAATGCAGCACCACTGGCGTTCCTAACTGGGCACCTAAAGTTTAATCGATGGTCGTTGTTCTGATTATCTGATGTAATTCTGTGATACATTTCACACTCCACCTCCTGCCCTCAGTACACACAATCCACCACCTACACCCGCTAATGATGGCCGGGTGAGCCTGATCGGACAGCTGGCTTTCCTAGCCATAAAAACCCGACAGATTAAAATTCTGCCTGCATTTCTTTAGTTAGTAATGAATGCAATAGCTAACTCTCCCTTTAGTCAGCACAACTCTCTTTATTTGGGGCCAAAAGACTGCTGACTTCTTAAATGTCAACATCTACACTGTTACAAACCGGCTGAAAAGAAAAGTCTTCCAATCAAAGCACAGCATTGTTTTCTTCCTTGACCTTGAGACTTGCCCTTGTACATCACAGCTTTCCTCTCCTTGTCTCTGTGACTCCAAATCTCTTGCTCAAAAGTATATTCCTTTGGAAATAAAATCCTTTTTGCAGTAATAAAATGGAATTTGCTAGAAAATGAACTGGAATTTTCTAGCAAGTACACTGTTTTGTGGCTCCCACCTTAGACACTAGAAGTGAATGACACTGTGGTGTCTCCTCTGCCCCTGACTGACCCCCTCCAAGAGTAGCAATGTGTACTTCCAGTAGCTGTGTATTGCTAGGCATTCAGTGAATGGTCCGATTCTGTCCTGAAGATCAGCTTGGCCTCCTGGCTGCAGCCTCTCCTTGGCACACAGATTGACCAGGTGGTGCACCCCTGCCAGGCTACCTGCCCTGTAGAGATGTGCTGGGGCTGACCAACTGCCCAAGAATATGGGTTAACTATGGAGGTAACAAAGACAAACCAAGGAGTCAGCTGGCAGCCCTTTAAGAAGAAAATGAAACCCTGTCTAGATCTCAACTCCTAACTCCTGTGTTTGCATTTTAAAACAGACTCCCTTGGCCATTAGTTTCTTTTCTTCTTCTTCTTCTTCTTTTTTTGTTGTTGTTGTTAATAGTTTCAGAAACAAGCCATAATTATTTCAGCAACAGAATAGGACTAGGGATGCTTATTCAGAGTCTTGCAAAAATCAAACACTTCTCCCTCCCCTCCCTGCCCCATCTCACACTGTTACTTCTTTCCCCAGGGAATAAATGTACCATCCAAACCTCAAGCCCCAGAGGCTGCTGCCATTCATCTGGGACACTGGAATCGATGTTGGATGCTAAGAACAAGAGGCCTTTGAGTGAGTAGTCATGAGTTTTTGAGTAGAAACAAAAGTGTAATTGATAGGCTTTCTTATCTGAATTCCTAAAGGGAGGAATAATTTAAAATGTCTCACAAATCTATTTTCCATTCCATCTCTGGTTTTATATGGATGATAATGGGGAGAAGCTTTGGGGAAGACATTCATCTTCCTAGTTACAGTGACAGTATTTCTAAAATGAGGCTGGGGTAGGGACATTTGAGATGGTTGGTGGTGGCAGATGAGATGCTGGCGACTGTGACGTTCACAGTACCCCCCTATCTCATTGAGAGCTCTGTACCACAGATTTGGGGACACAGAACTTTTTTTTTTTTTTTTGTGACGCTGGGAATGGAACCTTGGTCCTTGCAAATGCTAGAGCAAGGGCTCTCCCACTGAACTGCAGCCCCAGCCCTGGGACGCAGAACATTTAAGTCTAAGAAGCTTGTAATCTAGTAAACCAAGAAAACTGCAAAAACAACAAGATATTACATTCCTTTCTATTTTGAGAAAATAAAAGTTATATTATTTACAGAAGGAGCCTGGTGGGAGAGCTGTAAGTGGCAATCGTTTGTATGTAAACATGAGTAGATTAATAATTAGAGGTAATGCAGATTCAACAGGTATTCATGCTTGAAAGATGCAAGCTGGATGAGGGAGGAGAGAATGAGAAACTGCAGTAAAAATAGGTGTAACACTTGGCCCTGCCCAAAGATGGTGCACCAGGAGATGTTCTGACCAAAGCTGCAAAGCTGGCTCTCTTCCACACTTGGCATGACCACAATCTCAGGAGAAAGCAAAATGGGGATGAGGCAAGGCCGCTGAAGGGCTCAGCAGTAGCAGGAGGGGTGCTGGGCTTTAAAGTGACAGGACTGGATGGGCCAGGGCATCCCTGACATTTGCCACATGGTTCTCAGGTGCTGGTTAGGACAGTATGTACAGGTGGACTGGGATCTGGGACTTCCTGGACACAAAAGGCTATGGAATCATGGGATTCTTGGAAATCCAGAAATTGGCCTATCTTTAGAGCCAATTAGGACCTGTGTCCTAAAGAAAATGGTGACTAGAAATCAGTGTGCCTGGCCAGACACAGCAGCAAATAGTCCCTTCCACTGAGGGGCATCTGACACTCGAGACTGAACTGTACAAACAGACAACTGAGGGACAAAATGGCTGCCCTCTGGGCATGCTGTGCTCCCTCAGATGGGTGCCTCGTGAGGCAAACCACTGCCAGGAAACAGCAGAACCAGGAGGGCACTCACTTCAAATTTGTGTGCCAGGCCAAGGTGTAGGTGTCAGGAATGCAGCAGTGAACAAATGGGCCCCTAGTGGAGCTCACTCTCTGGATGATGGGGAGAAGTGGTGATATATGCAAAGGAGAAATAAAGGCAGTGAGGGGTAGGGAGAGAGAGTTTTGAACAGTGTGGGCAGAGAAGACCTCAATGAGATGAGTTCTGAGCAAAGACCTGAAGAAGGTGAGAGAGGAAGGCATTTAGTATCTGGAGAAGTAGCTTTCCAGGCACAGGTCCTATGGTAGAAGCTTGCCTCGCTGCTCAAGACAACAAGGGGAGAAGTGTGGCTGGGGCCAAGGAGACAGGCGGAAAGTGGTAACCGATGGAATCACACAGAGAGAAATAGCCGGGGGCCCACCCATTGGCCTGACATTCCCCTGCATTGCTCTCAACCTCCTCCACTCTGGTCTCACTGGAGCAGCCAGTGAGATGCAGGGAAAGACTGAGCTAATTGTGGCATTCCCCTCAGAATCTTCCAGTGACTCCCCATTTTACAGAGTAAAAGCCAAAGTCTTTCAATTTGCCGATAGGAAGAATCCAGCAGACAGAAGTAATGGATGGGGAGGGGAGAGACCTGGAGTGGCATCTTTACTGAGCAACTGCTCTCAGGAAGGCCCCTCCTGTCATAAGAAAAAGTGAACCCCAACAGCAATCCTTAGCAGGAAGGCTTTTTGATCTATGAGGCAAAGAAATCAAAGTTGAAATTACAAAGAAATTTATTTCATGGAAATTTGGTAACATGTCAATCACCAGATACTTTTATACATAAGGAACTTCTTTTCCACCTTGCTAAATGATTCATCTTGATAATCAGCTGTATTTCCAGCCATGCTAGTACAACAGCATCTTTTGCACTAAAATGAAAAGATTATTCTTAATAAGACAATTTCAGAGACAGGTACATACACTTAAAAATTATTTATAGAGCCATTCATCTTTTTAATAAAAGACCTTGTCACTCGTTAGTTGCCAGGGAGAATAAGTATTCCGTGGTTGGGAAGGGAGGCAGAGAAAATGTCAGGCCCTGTGGAACAAACCCTGAGGGACCTTCAAAGCCACCAGGAATCCACACAACATATGTTTCTATGTATGGCTGGCAGAATGGCAAGAAAAACACTGCAAAGTTCCAAATGGTTTTAAAACTATTCTCATAAATGTTTAAATTTCTTCATCTAAAGTCTTTCATATAAGGGGTAGAAACAATGTCCATCCCCACCTAATTTACATAACTGTATGTAAAGAAATAAGAACCCTTTCATTCCCCAGAAGGCCTTATAACTACCTCTTGTGTTCCACTTCTCCCATCTGAGTATGCCAGTCATGGCTTTGCCCTGACAGTCCCCCAGAACAAGAAGCCCCATAACAGTTGCAGTTTGGATAGCTGTGTTAGACCCACCACGCAACAAGACTTTTGACCTCTCAGTTGTAAAGGTCAAGTGTAAACACTTTGAGTAGTTGCTGATGATGATGTCAGAATACAAAGCTGAATTCACAAGGAACAGTAAATAAACTGCCAAGTCCTCTGAAGTGAATTGGTAAACTGTGTTTTCATTTTAAAAAATTACAGCTATTATCTTCAAAAAGGAAAGTGTTACACAGATTAAGTTTGTACTGTGCCTCGGTTTAAGACAGTTTCTGCTCCATTGACTAGAATAGGTTATCCTAAACTAAATGAGCAATCAAATATCTTGACATGTTAGTCTAAAAGTAATCTTTCTTTTCCTCAAATGGAAAATTATCTTCTCAATTTAAGTCTTCCTGGGCTAGGGATATAGCTCAGTGGTAGAAAACTTGTCTACTGTGCAAGACCCTCAATTTTATCCCCAGCACCACAATGAAATGCTGAGGTGTTTAATGTAAGAAGTTTTTTTTTTTTTTTCTTTTGCATGTGGTTTTTTGGATAAAAGTCTTGGCATCTATTTTGCTTTGTACAGAAAAGAACCCAAGCTGACTGATTTTTTTTCAGGTTCACTACTGCCACCCTGTGGACCAACTGAGTACCACTAACCCAACTGGGTATTTGAGCTTAAGACCCAAACAGTAGAGCAATTCTTTAGCAGTTAATGGTTAATGGATGGGTTTTTCCCTCCATTCTTTCTCCTTTTCATTTCTAATACTTCATCTACATTTTTAATAGTGAAAAAAGAAAACCAGGAAGCATTTGATTTTCCAAGATTTAGGTTTCCTAA